TGATCCAACATCGCCACCTTAAGGCTGAAGCGTGCCATTACTAGAAACAATTACGTCCTACGATCCCATCTGATTAGGAGAAATGCAATAAAACAACGTTGGTGGTGTTCAGAAAATCAAGTCTGAATTACAGTCACTCTAATACGCCGTAAAGATTACACATTTCAAATAACATTGATTAAAACATCACATCATCAGGTGTGTTGCATCTCTCAGTCACATGAATCACTTTATTACTAAACTCCAAGTAACTAATGAATCTAACAGTCATGTTGGTGGACAATGGGAGGAAGTTGGAGTACCAAGAGAAAACAACAGAAAGAGCCTTCTTGCTGCAAAGCAATGATGCCTAATCACCTAAAGTCATACATTGGTAGAATTTATTTTTCTATAAAAACCTAAAAGGAGGAACAGGGAAATAGAAATTGTGCTGAACGGGGCAAAACCAAAAGAGAACCTGTCAGAAGCTACGAAAGCCCTGAGATTGGAGAGGAGATTTATCTTACAGCAGAACGACGGCTTCAAACATGAAGTCTTAGTTCTCCTGGAAAGCAGAACCAAGTCTGACATGAGGATCTGTACCTTAACAGGTTTGGCGTCCGTCCTGATCTTTCCCCAGGATACGGCCTCGTCAGGTCGGGCCCCAGAGTCCGAACCGTCAAACTCCTGACCCGTGTTCACATACACAGCGTAGTCGGCGCCGTTTCTCTGGAAGAACAAGGATGGGGAAAGAGAGGATTTTTTTTTTTTCAGGTTTGCTCTCTGGGAATAAACTTTATTACGCTTTGAAATACTATCATAAAAGCTTTAAGATAGCTTTTATTGACAATAATGGATACATTCTAATAAACTTTTAAAAAAAAATCCCATAGCTCAAATAAAGTAGCAGCAAAGAACTCTGATGGAAGAAAGATGCAACAGAGTCGCATTGGAAATGTTCTGGCCAGCATTCAGCTTCCAGCAAACCACAAAATTATGTTGTATGATATAAAAATACTCTGACAGCACTTTAACTTTAATCAGTCTGAGCCAAAAAAGAGATCTTACGGTGCTTCTAATCCACTACTTCTAATAACTTTGATCAACAGATTGTTAAATGTAACTTAGAAAACAGGTTATTTTTTTTTGTGCAAAGAAGATCACAGAGGGTTATTTACCATGAGGTTAGCATTGGCTATATGATGTTTCACCAACCCTCCTCCCAGGATGATCATTCCCGTTTTCTTGGCAAAAACCGCCATGCCATTCAGCTTTCGAATATCTGAAACAAACCCCAAACTCATGGTCTGAACAGCTGGGACTACTAACGTGGAACTGCTCTGTTAAAGCGCTGCTGCTGCTGCTTTTTACCTTCCACGATGTCCAAAACCAAGCCGGGGTTCTTAAACGAGTGGAAGTAGATCATGTCGCCCAGAGAACCGTCGGTGAGTGCAGGACTGAACACTGGGATGTTATTCTGAAACACAGAAACTGACCTTTAGCAATCTGGAATAATACAAGATGAGGTTTCATGTATCACTTCACATTTTAGGGACAAACCTTGTACGCCCAGTAGTAGACAGAGTCGGTGTTGTTTATCTCCTTGCCGAGCCGATGGATCATTTTAGAGGGAGTCCACCGGATTCCCTGAAATAAACAAACTTGGTGTTTGATTTGAAGTGCTAAATATTGTGACATGAGCATTTACACGTCAATAAACAGCTTCATGACTAATGACTAATTTGCATGAAAGTAAGTCACCCACCTCTGTGTTTTGCTCCAGTAACATTTGATCCAGAATGGGCATCAGCCAGTCTTCAAACTTACAGTAGTTATCGTTGGGCACCAGAAGGTTTCCTATCCTACAGTCAGAGAAGAGACAATGGGTGGACACAGATAATTTAATCTATTCCCCTGCATGTTTATTTGCCGATTTTATGCAAGATAAAAACTGGTGGAGAGTTTAAAAAAAAACATTATTGAAAAATAGTGCATGGATTCTGTTATAACAGGTAACATGAGAAGAAATTCACACAGAAAGTACATCTGAAAATGTAGCACTTCCTCCATCTCTGCTACACTTGAGCTTTGTTCTCTTATCTCCACCCCCATTCCTCCTGACCTCTTCTTTACAGTCATCTCAAGGAAATTTCTAACCACACCGAAACATTTTTATTCTTTGTGCATGCCTCTTTTACACAGAGCCATTAGAAGATGCAAAATGTTTAGTTTTATCTTTCTTTGCTTCACTTTAAAAGCAGGAATCCTGTTTATCTAGATTCAAACAACAACCTGTTGATGCCTCTCAGACGCAGCTCTTTGCCCGACAGACTGAAGTCTCCCAAGTAAGTATGAGCCAGGCACTTAATGAAATCCTCCTCAATGCCTCCAGCTGTGGTGACAATCACATCCACCTAAAAACAAGGCAGCCGGTAGAGATAAACCGCCACAGTCATATCAAATGGTTTCATTTATTTTAGGCAACTATAAGTGAGCACGTTTGTACCATTTTATGCTCTGCCAGGTAGCGGATGCTCTCTCTCACTCCAGAGCTGATGAGGTTGGAGGTGTATCCCAGGAAGATGGTACAGCCGGGCTTGCGGGAGGATTCGCAGGACTCTTCAGACTCATTTTCTCCGTCTACTTCGACCGGCTCCAGGCGTTTCTCGATCTGTGGTAAACTGTTGGTTAGCAGCAGTTCAACACTGCAGAGCTGCAACATTTTATTTAGTTAAGTTTGTTAGACATCAGGTAAAAGACTATAAACCTAGGTGCTTTTTTCCCCCCTTTTCTGTTATGTTAACGATGCACCAATCAGTTTGGCCCTTCCTCCATCATTTATTTTTTGAAAATGCATCAAAACAAAGAACTTCCAAAATATGTGGTCTATAAACGCATCACTAACAGCATTCAATTTGATGTTCCCTCTATTAATTTAATATAAATCAAATATAATAGTGTTTGAATTCCTTTTTTTTAAACCATTATCATAGTCCACAGTGAAAATTGAGGGAATTAAATCAAATCTGAATCAGCAGGTCAGACCTCAAAGAAAACCAGATTTTTCTGTATGGGCTAGGATAATCTCTCACCATCCGGTTGATCTCCTGGATGGCCAGACCCAAGCTACTGGCCTGAAAGCCTGTGGTCAGGTAGGTCTTCAGCAACGCCTTGAGATCAACCCCCTGGTTGAAGTCGTAACCTCGGATTTTTGGCATATCTTCCGGGAGTTCAGCACTAGGCTTCAGAACTGCCTCCATGGCAATAGAAGGGGCATGGTCCGCCATTTCTACTGTTACAAAAAATGTATATAAACAGATGAAAAAAATATATGCATCAAAATGCAGAGACTATCTGGGAAAAATAAACAAATCCAGTGAAATGTGAACAAGAGTCTGGTCAGCAGCTCTGGCTGATAGTTGCTCTTTAACTGCACAATTAGAATGTAATATCATGGAAATTGTGGGATTTAATTTTAGAAAAATGTTGTCATAAACTCCACGGAGGACCAAAGACTAACATCTATATATACACACACTTATACATACACATACACATATAAAATAGCGCACAGAATTACATGTCAACACTTGAATGAGGATGTTAAATCCATGTGGTTTGACATTAGCAGTCACATGCTAGCAACCAGTAGCTGTTCGCTCTTCTAATTTTGAATAAAACACAAGCATAAAACATACCTATTCTTTGTAAGGTGTTATGTGATGGCAGAGGTTGAGTAATTCACTTCTATCGCAGCACCTAATAGCAAAGATATTACAGTTTTGTAGCCCTGTACGCATAGCATAAACTGTTAGGCTAAAAGCCACCGCTACGGAAAACGCGAGTGGACAAACTTAATAAAGCGCACAACACTTAGGTGAAAAAAACATGCGAAGGTATTTTGGGAGCAAAAGTATTTATGGCCTGTAATTGAGAAGTTAAAGTGTAGAGAAAAATCCTAGAGGAGTTTTGTGACTATATTTTGTTTTCAGTTTTTTCATACAAAACGAAAGTTACATTCTAGTACAAGACACAAATTCTATTCTTTGAGTCACATAAAAAAAAAAATCTTACACTCACAGTTTTGCCCTTAAACTCTGATGCAGAATTGTAGAGAAAACTCTCCACAAACTTGCAGCGTGACAAATGGTGCAAAAGTCAAGCGTGCGGTGTAGCTTGTAAAACAGGATTTATGACTCGCGTCAACAGTTGATTTAACTGACTTTTGTCTGTATAAAGGGAAAAGATATTTAAAAAAATGTTAGTAGAGGTGTTTAAATTAGCTTTGCTCCAATTGTACTGGGCAGAATGGAGCAAAAAATGTTAGAGCAGGACTATTACATTTTGTGACATGTAGGATGGAGTCTCTGACAGTAGTTTTGTATTCATAAAAAATTTTTAAAATCCTCTAAGATTTTTCTCTACAATTTAAACCTCAGTTACAAGTCACAAATACTTTTGCAACAAACATACCTTCATAGAAGTGTACCTTTAGGTCACCACCGGAGGGTGCTGTATACAATATTTTCTCCTAAACAGATTTTTAGCACGTATTTCGGTTTTGCTTACAATTTTCTCAGTGATGAGTTAAGTGATGAGCTTTTTATTAACAGAATAATAAAATACCCAAACCTGGAATTCGCCAGGTTTGGAATTTGCATATGAAGTGCCTTGCAGTCGTATTCAGCTTAAACTTGTTCACATTTTGCCTCTTTTCAAGAATACTTTTAGTGTGACAGACATGACAGACTAGCACAAAACAGTGCATAATTGTGGAGTGGAAGGGAAAGGATTCATGGTTTTAAAATTTTCCTTTCAAAAGTAAAAATGTGAAAAGTGTGGCATGGATTTATGTTTTATTCCCTGTACCAATAAATCTTGGAACCAGCTTTTGTTAACATTACTGCTCCAGCTCTTTTTGGCTCTCTCTCCACCAGCATGAAGTCGTCGTCATCAGCTGTGAAGTGTTGTGTGATGTTTGTGACATTTTCAAAAAAGGTTTGTGTGACCTTTTATATCACAGAGGCTTTGAACTCCCCCCAGCAGCGAATAAAAGAAGGGACACGGGTCAAAATGCAAAGCCAGGAGCACCATCTGAGCAGACTTTGCCACACGACCTGGACAGACTTTTGCATCAGGTTAAAATATTATTCTAAGTCACCTTTTTCGCACATAAAATAAAGGTGTCCTCAGCCTATAGGACATTTTGTTTTTGCACTATCAGGAAAGATGTGCAGCAGCAGCAACAGCATCATCCAGGCCCAAAAACTGGTGGATCAACTCCAAATCGAAGCAGGCATGGAAAGATTCAAGGTATGTGTGATTTCAAATATTAAGACACATCTACAATTATTCCAGTGTGATTTTCAAGCATTTCAAAGCATTTTCTTTGGTGATTAAAATAAGAATGTGCTTTAAAAATTCCCATTATCCACATTATTTTCCCAGATTTGTTAATATTTGAACTTCTATTTGTCGTCTGAGCAGATCTCCCTCACAGCAGCGGATTTAGTCCAATACTGTCAGGAACACAGACGCAGCGATCCTCTGCTCACCGGCATATCGGCTTCGTCCAACCCGTTCAAAGATAAGAAGACCTGCGTGCTACTCTGACACCAGAAGATCCATGGCACAATACAGAAAACGTAGACTGGGAGCTCCAACGGATTAGTGTAGACATTTATATTTTGCCTGTCATGTGTTTATGCCTCATCTGCAAAAAATACATATAATTTCTAACGACAAATTTTCAGGGCTTTCGATGGAAAAGTTAGATTCAAAGACATATGAACGAATATAAGAACAGAAGTACTTTTATTGTGCATTGTAGTTTAATTTGTTACGGCATACATACAATAAACAATTAAATATTTGTGGTTTCTTTGAGGTTTGAACATAGAATGAATAAAAATTACAAGATATAAATTACACAATAGTAAAAGGCACCAAAACAACAGAAACATCCTTGAATTAAATCTATCATATGACAAATAAGAGTGTAAGACAAAATGACTTGGAAATGAATCAGGACTCCATCAACACTGAACATCTAGTTAAAAAAAAAAAAATTCAGGTTGAACCTTAAAAGGAAGTAAAAGGAACAGTTTGTTTATATGGCAGTGTGGCTGAAGGTTATAAAGCTGTCGTTTTAAGCAGACAAAGAAAGTTACAACAGAACCTTCTATTGTGTTAGAGTAGAGTAGCTTGGTATTTGCAAGTGTATTGTACCACACGTGTGTGACATATTGTGTCAGTGTAATTTCACTTCAATATATTGGTTTATTGGATTTCAACATGGAAATATTCCTTAGTTAAGATAAAATCCAGGGGTGCATTTATCTTTTCACCAACAAATATAAACAGACAAAAAAACGGAACAAGGTTAATAAAGCCTGGATTTCTACAGCAGGATTTCATAAAGTGCAAGAAGGCTTTTAAGGCTTGACCTGAAGGGGGAAAAAACTTGCTAATTTTGCTGTGCTTGCGTATCTGGGTCCATAAAAACACAAGAGGCTAAACAGTTTAATTGATTAGGTGGGACGATTAACACATTTGTACATGCATGCAGACTGAGTGGTTTAACATTCATGTCCAAATCTGTCAGAAGTTGCATAAGGTTTACTGACAAAGCAAAGCAAAATTTGCAGTTTTTTTTCTCTTGAATCCATTGTTTAAGATGTTTTACTTTTTGAAATCCTTTAGTGAAAATGCACTTTATTATCCTGCTTTCTTTCTATTGTCAGTGTGCATCTATTAGTAAGTAATAAAAACTCCCTCAACTGAAGAGCCTCTGTGTATTTTTTTTTTTTTTTTTTCACTTTTTACCCTAAATTTCACAATGCAGACAGATCGATATGGCCATCAAGTGCAGATC